GAAAGCAGAAAGCAGAAAACTTTAGATGCCGGGCAGGCGCAGGGGGAACGCTGTCCCCGCTTGTCACTCAGACCTCGCGTCTGAACCAGAGGGATCCCAGCGCTGGGACTGAGCGGCCGCTGGGCGCCCTCACGCCCGCCCGGGCGCGCCTGCCTTTCACGGGAAAAGCCGGGGAACCACTCCCGCGCCTCTGCCCCTCCGCGGGCTGGGCGGGCTCCATAACTTTCGCAGCCAGCACGGGGCTGCCAGTCTCCGGCTTAGGGAACATCTATCTCATGGGACAGCAGTGTGAAACTGCCACCAGGTGCTGCCGTGCCGGGCGCAAGGGCCGGGGCAGAGCGGGGCCGAGTCCTTGGCGTGAGCCGTGAGCAGACGCCCAGCAGGCCCCGTGCACAGCTGACTTCCATTTTCTTATAATTGACCAGTTTCCAGGTCCCCGGGCTCTGCGGGGGAGGAATGGGAGTCCTCGGTGACTACCCCGTGCTGGTCCCCTCGCTGGTCCCCTCGAGTCCTGCACCCTTGTTCTCCCTGCCCTCAGGCTGGGCCTGTCAGGGTGTCTGCTGTCCCTTTTCCCTGTACCCTCCCCGCCCCAGGAGAACCACGTGGCTGTGGGTTTCCCCTAGAGCTGTGTCCAGAAGCCCAGCCCAGCTCCGGGACCCCCCTTACTCTCCCACTCCACCCCCCCCAGGTGGGTGGTCTCGGCCTCTACTGAGGCTCAGACCGTCTCTCTTCCTGCCACTTTGCCGAGGCCTGGTGTACGGGCTGACACGGGCCAGCGAACGGGGGACCTCAGCCTCGCCCGGCGTCCGTCACGTGCGAAGGACTTTTGGAAGTTCCCGTGTTCTCAGGAGCAGCTCAACCCCCTAATATATGGGGGTACGGTTGTTCCTGCCTCTTAGGGTAACTCGGATGCAGACCGCGAGCCCCCTCCCGCCTCACAAGCTGCTTTTACAAACGCGTAGTCGGGCTCAGAGGGGCTGAGTGGCGTCCCCAAGGCCACAGCGCTGCAGCCGGGCGCTGGGACAGATCCGTCCCACGTCCCACGCCACAGCTTTCCCACATGCTGTGCTCCAGCTTCTCGGCCCATTAAGGGTCACCGAGCCCGTCGAAAGCAACAGTCGTGGGGCGGCACCCCCGCGTTTCTGAGCAGACGCCTGGGTTTAGCCGCCACACCTGACGGACGGACTGGCCCACGGGTGATGCGCTCGCCGTGGCTGCTCAGCGGGTGCCGTGCCCCGCGGGCAGCAGGATGTGGATGGGGGGCTGCGGGCTTTCCTGGTTGCTGTCCGCCAGAAGCCGAGAAGGGAGGGGCACGCTTTCCAGAAACATCCTCAGAGTCCCCGGGTCCCCCGTGTGAGGCCCCCAGGCAGTGTACCTGCCTCTGCACGCACGCCACTGCCTGCCGTGCCCCGCCAGTGGCTGCTGCGGCCTCCTCTTTAGGGACACTTGGGCCTCAGGAAATACAGTGCATTTTAGGGTGACAAGTGCTTTCAGCCCAGCCTGTCACGGACCCGTCTAACAGCTGTCACCACAACCCGCAGACAGGAAAGCGAGAATGGGAACCAAAACCTCTTCTTGACCCCAAGGCCTCGGGAGGTGTCGTGGCGTGTTGAGGCCTTCGCCTTCCCACCCCCACCCCGGACCACACCCGTGTCCCCCTCCACCCCGACCTGCCTGGACTCTGGAGAGTCAGCAGCGGCCTTCAGGAAAGTCCCCACAGCACCTCCCAGCTCCCAGGCCAAATTCCTGGGATGTTTTCCCAGGGAGAGTGTGGCCTTCTGCCTGGGCGCACCCTGCGTCCACGGGTGTGGGAGCTGGTGGCTCTCTGTGTCGGGCTGTGTCACCAGGCTGCATCTGCAGGTGTGAGAGCTGGGGTCAGGGCGCCTGGGACCACAGCCAGGTCGCGGCTTGTACAGGGTCTGCAGGTGTGAGAGCTGGTGGCTCTCTGGAGGCTGCAGGGCGGACCCCTCCAGGCCCAGGACGTCTGGAGGTGCCGTTTCTGAGCCCTCCCCGTCCCCTGTGAGTGCCTCACAGTCCCCTTGCTCCCCAGGCCATGTGCAGCCACCCCCCTCCCCCCCAGCACCTGCCCATCGCCCAAACCAGTGCCCTAGCCAGGCCCTGGCCATGGAGAGAGGAGGCTGGGTCCGAGGTTGGAGGGGCAGGCGTGCAGGTGAAGGAACGTACGGTCGGACATGTGATAGGGTCAGGCCGCCTGGGACCACAGCCAGGTCGCGGCTTGTACAGGGGTGAGGCGCCGGCCAGAAGCCCAGGACCTGGGGACCTGGCCTGGGGACTGGCCAGGGAAGGCCAGAGCCGACTTAGCGCACGTCGGGCCAAGGCCCATTCAGCGCCCGTGGCCACCACAGGGACAGTGAGACGTGTGGCGCCTGTCACGACTCGGGTGGGGGTGGGGGCGCATTTCGGCAAAGCATGCAGAGGCAGCGTGGCCGTGTGTTCACCGGGGAGCCCCGTGGTGACCCGGCTGGACACGGGCCTCCCAGACCTTCTGTGTCCCGGCCGTAGCCTGCGAGGCGTTAGCTGTCACCTTCCTGTTCGTGGAACGGTTCTTTTTTGAATTAGATTTATCGGGTGACATCGGCTTTAAAGTTATTTAGATTCCACATGTCACGTTCTGTAACGCATCGTCTGTATGCTGCGCTGTGTGCTCACCGCACGTGGTCTTTCTGAGTGCCGTGAGCCCCTCTCTGAGGGTCCCCATCGGGCTGGTTAGAAACGCAGCACCGCGCCCCCCAACCCCAGGCTCCATCCTCCTGACTGTCCAGCCGCCCTCCAGACTCAGGGGGGCTCGAGTCTGCGTCACCGCTTCCCTCACCCACGCGGGCTCGAGAAGCCGCCCCCGTCCCACATCCCGAATTCAGTAAAACCCCCCGAGCCACGCCCAGCGGGACAAGTGCCATGGACTATTCCTGGGGAGTCCGTCCGGCCTGGGACCCCTGCCCGGTGGGGAGCGTCCTCCTCCTCGGTGCTGGCAAAGCTGGTCGTGGAAGCCACGTCGCTCCCGGTTACCGTGGCAGGGAAGAGGGTGTCTGAGTCCGGTGTCTCCCCTGATGCGCCCTGGCAGGGGTCGAGGGTGACATGGCTCCAGGTTCCAGTTGCTGGGCAGCTTGGACGTCACTTGACTAATGGGCATCAGCCTCCAGCACGGAGCGTCCAGCTGGGACAAGGCTGAGGCCACCAGGGCAGGGCCAAGGAGTGGTGAGTCACTCACTGCAGGGCCCGAGGCTGGTGGGGCCAGAGGAGGAGAGGGGACAGGAACGCAGAGGCAGCCCCCAGAGTGCTGGTTCCAGGGGCAGGAAAGCGAGAGCAGTGGTCGGCGGGGAGGCTGAGGGAGGACCACTCCCGGAGGGGCACGTCGCCCAGACCGGTGAGGGTGGGCAGGGACGCGTGTCCTGGGGAGCATCGTTGTCCACCCAGCAGCCTTGGGGACAGAGGGTGACACCATAGACCTCACCTTATAAGAGCCCAAGGTGCTGGGCGGGGCCAGCGCACCTGTCCTGGGCCCCTCCCTCTGCCCCAAGCCCTGCCCGGGTCACCGTGTGACGTTTCTCTTTGCTTCTGCGTGTTTGTGGTGACAGGGCTCGGTGTCTACGGTGACGGTGGCAGTGCCGTTTGTGCACGGAACAACGCGGTGACGCGTCCTGAACCCCTTGGGCCCCACCCCCGGACTTGACTGGGTGTGCCTTTCACCCTCCCGGGGAGCACGGACTCGGGGCGCCCTGTTCCCACCTTGGGATCATGCTCGTTCCCGGGTCCCCCACCCCGACTCTCCCCACGCCCGCTCTCCTCGCTCTCTCTCCAGCATGTTTGTTTTTCCAGAGGGGCCTGGGGTGACACCGGGCACAGTCCCCCTTGTTCTCTGTTCCTTTATCTGGACCCCCCCCCCAGAAGCTGGTGTCTTTGTCTCACTTGGGGTGAAGATTGGCGGAAGCAGGAACGTCGGGGCCAGAGCCAGGACACAGGATAGGCCAGGACAACGAGAGTCCCCGACGCGGCGACGTCCCTCAGGCGTGCCAGGCCGGTGACCCTGGAGGAGTAACATTTGGCTGCTGCCATCGTGTGGGTTTTGGAAATGCTCTGGTGCCTGTCACATGCCACGTGTGACTAGGCTCATGGGGTCACGTTGTAGAAAAGGCAGTTTCCCTAAAACCCTGGGAGCCCCAGAAGGCAGCCTCCTTGTGACGGGGCAGCCAGGCATCCCATGTGCGGCTCTATCCTGACCCCCGACGCTCTACGGCTGAGAGAACAGACCGGCGCCTGCCCGCAGGAGGTGGCAGTGCCGTGGCCTGCGCCATCCCGCTCTGCGTGCCTGACCACGTGTTCCTGGTTAGTCTGGGACTGGCCACCCCCTCCCCCGCCGAAGCAGCAGCCATCATTAGAAACAAAACATAACTGAACATTTAACTCATCTCATTTTAAATGTTTTCTGATTTTCTCTGTGAGTGAGGGATCTCGTGTTTGATTTCCACAGCTTCCTGAATTTTCCAAGCGACTCTTTAGGATTAAACTCCAGCAGCGTCAGTAAACCTTGAGGGTTAGTGTGGATCCCTAACAGTTAAAGACCCAGTGCGTGGTCTCCTTTCCGCTTGTCCCTAAATATCCCATTTTATTAATCGTCTGTGTGCTTCCCACTGGTCCCGATCAGGTGTCCCCTTTGTGACCGGCAGGCACGCCCTGCGGGTCTCCCTGAGCTTTAGATTCCCCCCTAAAACTCCATCTCTCTCTCTCTCGCTTTTCCCCTTGCAATGCATTCATGCCGAAGAACCTGAGTTATTTGTCTCATAAGGTTTCCGTTTGTCTAAAATTAACAGCCACTCCGGCTGTTTTGGTTAGTGTTTTGTACGGTGTTATCTTTTTCACCCTTTTACTTTCAACCGATGTTTGTCTTTG